TACCAACATCTGGTGAAAATTTCATGTCATTAGCACCTCTAGTAATATATTTACTGAGAAAAATGTTGACGTGTTCAATACTTATTTTACCCGCTGTATCTGCCTGTTTCTCCACATTCCACTTTTGGACTTAATCCTCGTTTTGATGTGATGGGGTCGCAAATATTGTCTAAACTTGATTGTACAAAATGAGACTCAAAGTAAACAAAATACAATTTAGTTCGGAATAACTGTGATCACGCCCAAAGAAAGGCCAATACATAATACAAAAAAATACGTCCAATAAAAAGAACTTTAAAAAATGTTAACATGATAACTACATAGACAAAAAAAAAAAAAGAATTTTAACTGAAGTTAATCTGTTTTTCATTTCATTTTTAAGGTGGTTGGTAACAAGGCAGGATTTCTCACAGACTCAGATTCACATTCTGTAAATCCTGGCAGATTTCTTGGCTTTTGTGAGACAAATTATCCTCATAATGTCACAATAGGCTCAAATGTTGTATTAGATTTCAATTTTTTTTGTATCAGTTTGAATGAATGAGCACTAAAAAAACAATGTGTAAATAAAATCCATTAAAATTCACTGTATTGTTTATTTATTTATTTTTGACTGGTCTTGATTYAATGTATCCATCCCTGGTTTGCTCTACACGATTTGTTCTCGTCTGACCTAGGCGATGTTCACCGCCTGTGAACTGGGGGTGTTTGACGTGTTGTCGGCCGCCGAGCGCCCCCTCTCAGCTGAGGAYATCAGTCAGGCGGTGGGGGCCAGTCTGGATGGCACAGAGAGGCTGCTGGCTACCTGCTCCACCCTGCAGCTGCTCAACACACACCAGGACAACGGACAAGGTCAGAACACAGAACGGCCTAAAACCAAAAAAAATGGAGATTTGAACTAATTAAATTGAACATAAAAGAACTTCTGTTTTGATTAATGCAAACTGTTGTCTGTTACACACATAAAAGGTCAAATTCATAACTGCACTTATTCATTCATTAAGTGTTTGTCCATCTTCCTGCCCTTGCTTTAGTTTTTTACAGTAACACAGAGGAGACTCGGGTCTTCCTCACACGTTCCAGTCCTTTGTCCCTCAACTTTTACATCCAGTTCACGTCCAGATCCACCTATGTCTACTGGCAATACATAACTGATGCCATCAGGTCAGAAAACTCATCAGTCATGAATCTTTCATTTTTTTAGCATCAATTTTTTAATTCATTTCATTAAAACAAAACAAATAATTTTATATACAGGTTACAATTAAAAGAAAAATATAAAAAGAAAAAACGAGATAAAATGTATATACAGTATCAAATTTAAATGTGTATATCAAAATCACAAATAAAGTGAAATGAAAGGCAGCAGAGAGAAGAAAAAAATCTTATATCTGCCCCTTATTTCTAGAATAAGTTAAAAAATCTATGTTATTAACAAAACAAAAGACAACAATATCTAATCCCAGAACAACAATTTATATAGATACACATTATACACTGCAAAAACTG